CTGCTACAGTCACTCTCCACTCTGATTCCCACCCTCAACCTCACTTTTACCACAATCTTCACCATCATACCCTAGCCCCCGACCCTCATTTTCACCTTCACCCTCACCCTTCCCATCCCCATGAATAGAGCCTTCGTCATTGACTCCAGACTCCATGCAGTCTCAAGGCTTCAGGTTGGAAACCTCCTGCTGATTATCACGTACCGACCTGCCTCGGCTGATAAATTGGTGCTCCCCCATTTTGAACAACACTTGGAGGAAGCGCTGAGGGTGACAAGAGTGCAGAATGTTCTGTGGGGGATTTCAGTGCCCACCACCAAGTGTGGCTCGACAACAGCACTACTGACCAAGCTGGTTGGGTCCTAAAGGACATAGCTGCTAGATTAGGTGTGGCAGGTGATGAGGGAAGCAACAAGAGGGAAAAACGTACTTGATCCCATCCTTACCAAGCTGCTGACAGATGCATCTGTCCATGATAGTATTGGTAAGTCTGATCACCACACACTCCTTAATTTCAGAGATTTTTATTATCATATGTAACTGAGTACAGGAATATGGGAGTACAGTGCAAATGGCAAAGAGTTGACACTCTCCAGCACTATCTTAGAAAACAGAAATGAGGAGCAGAAATGAGAGGAACAGCAAACAGAAGCAGATCTCCCCATGTGGCTCCTGGCTCTCCCTCCTGACAGTGGAAATCAGCCAGACACTGGAATTTCCACCACTTTCGGGGGGCCTGGTGGGGTCCACCATGTGTCCCAAGCCAGCCCCACCAATGCCACCTGCTGGAGCAAACAGTCTGCTGCCACCTGCACCAGACCCACCAATGCTGATGTCGCCGCTTTCTGGGGTCATCTCTCGCCGCTAGACCCACCTTGCCAACATCTCCCATGCCCACCACAGTCAATGCCAATGTTGTTGGGCCCAAGCTGAGCCCACCTTGTTGCCATCGATGATGAAAAGTTAAAATAAGGAAAAAGAAAAGTGGCTGGATAAAGCAACGGGTGAGCCCCAGGCTCAGAAGTCCTGCCTTTACGTTTGAGAATATCCTCCATTGTGTTGTGTGGCACTATCACTGTGCTAAATAGGTCACAGTTCAAAAGGTTCAAGCAACTCCAGACCGGGCATCCATGAGGTGCTGTGGTCCATCAACAGCAGCAGAATTGTACTCCAGCACAATCTGTAACCTCATGGCCCGGCATATTCCCCACTCAATTATTATCATCAAGCCAGGGGATCATCCCCTGGTTCAATGGAGAGTGCAGTAGGGCATGCCAGGAGCAGCACCAGGCATACCTGAAGATGAGGTGTCAGCCTGGTGAAGCTACCAGACAGGACTATTTTTATCCAACTAACTATCTAATGCCCCTCTTGAATACCTCAATTGAACTTCCTTCCATCACATTTTGAGGCAGTGCATTCCAGACCCTAATTATTTGCTTTGCATAAAATAGTGTTCTTCCCATCACCCTTGCTCCTTTTGCAGATCACTTTCAATCCCTCTCTTGTTCTTTTTTTCTTTTAGTATCCCCTGTCCAACCTGCTCATCACTTTGACATCCCCTATCAAATTTCCTCTCACCTTCTTCAATCAAAGGAAAACAGTCCCAACGTCTTCAATCTATCCTCATAACTGAAATACCATTACCTGGAACCATTCTTGTAAATCTCTTTTGCACTCTTTCCAGTGCATTCACATCAATCCAATAATGTGGTGCCCACAACTGTACTCAATACCCCAGCTGAGGTCTAACAAGGGTATTGTACAAATTCGACATCGCCTCCTTGCCCTTCTACTGTATGCGCCTATTAACATAGCCGAGCACATTGAATGGTTTCTTAACTGCTCTCTCCAATGGTCCTGCCATCTTCAATAATGCCTCTACTTTCTCAGGAGGCTAAGGAGATTCAGCATGTCTGCAATGACTCTTACCAATGTTTATAGATGCAGCATAGAGAGCATTCTATCTGGATGCATCACAGTGTGGTATGGCAACTGCTCTGCCCAAAACCACAAGAAACTACTGAGCTGTGAACACAGCCCACTCCATCATGCAAACCAACTTTCCATCCATCAACTCCATCTATACTTCTTGCTGCCTCAGGAAAGCAACCAACATAATCAAAGATCCCTCCCACCCTGGTTATACTCTTCCACCCTCTTCCATCAGGCAGAAGATGTAAAAGTTTGAATACATGTGGGAACAGGTTCAAGAACAGCTTCTTCCCCACTGTTATCAGACTTTTGAATGGACCTCTCAGATGTCAATTCTGATCTCTCTCTCTGCAGCTATAACACAGTATTCTGCACTCTGTACTGCTACCCTGATGCACTTTGCACAGTATGATCTGTATAGCATACGAAACAACACTTTTCACTGTATCTCAGTATATGTGACAACAATGAATCAAACTCAAAATTCAAACTTTCAATGATCTGTGCACATTTACATTTATGTTCTTTTGCTTTTGCATCCTCTTTAGAATCGTACTTCTATTTTATATTCTGTTAGAATCATTGCAGATTTTTCATATTTTTTATTTTCTTTTATGAATTTTGGTTTGGAGCTGTGAGCTGAAGATAACCTTTGGATTGTGGGTAGCAGCTTGAGTTAAAAATAAATGGAACAAACAGTTTGGGGAGAGGTGATGTCCGAGTGGTATTATTGTTGGACTGTTAATCAAAAAACTCAGGTAATGTTCTGGGGAAGGGTCACCGGACCTAACTCTGTTAACTCTGTTTTCTCCTTCACAGATGCTGCCAGACCTGCTGAGCTTTTCCAGCAACTTTGTTTTTGTTGTTGTTGTTGTAATGTTCTGGGAACCTGGGTTTGAATCCCACCATGGCAGACGGTGGAACTTAAGTTCAATAACAATCTGGGATTAAAAGTCTAACGATGACCATGAAACTTATTGATTGTCAGTAAAAACCCATCTGGCTCACTAATGTCCTTTAGGGAAGGAAACTGCCAACCTTACCTGGTCTGGCCTAGTTCATATTGCACCTGATGAAATGGTTGCACTCTGAAAGCTTGTGATTTCAAATAATTCTGTTGGACTATAATTTGGTGTTGTATGATTTTGTCCACCCCAGTCCAATACTGGCACCTCTACATCATGGTCAGGCTTACATGTGACTTGAATGTGTTAACTCTCAACTGCCCTCTTGGCAAATAGAGGTGGGCAATAAATGCGGGCCTAGCCAGCGACACCCACATCCTCTGATTGAATAAAAGAAAGTCAGACTTGCAAGTTAATTGTAGGTTGGTTTTTCATCAAAGGATTCTACAGACTCTTAGACACCGGGGGAGAGGACGATGTTTAACCAGATAGCCATTGATGAGGTCAGCACTTGGGAACTGGTGCTAGCAAGTCTGGAAGGGAACATGATAGTCAAACAGAGGGAGGGGCCAGAGAGATTGAAATGGTTTTTGGACAGTGATTCTGAGAGAATTAGTATTAGAATGAGGTTTTATTGTCACGTGTACTCATGTACAGATGTACAGGAGTACAGTGAAAAGTGTACAAAGTAGACATTTACTGGGGCCATCTTAGGTACAAAAACCCAAAATAAGAAAAACCATCTAAAGATACAAAATACAGAATTGAAAAAAAAGCAGAAATACAAAAACAAGAGCCAAGAAGAAAAGAGGAAGTGTCCAGATCTAAAAGTCTTATCTCCATGAGGTAGCCTTATCTCTGTAAGGTAGTTAGGCCTCCCTCCCCAAAACTTCGAGTTTCAGTGCTGCTGCTGCCACAGGCCTTCGGAACTCATCCCGCAGGTCCTTAGAACTTGCTGCTGCCACGGCTGGAGATAGAGGAGGAAGGGGATAGTTGTTGATTCTACAGCATGATGGTTTGGAAGCTCCCTGCCTAACCTCCCATTATCAGCTATTGGAAATTCAGAGAATAGAAACTAAGTTATAAATATTACTGGAACTTTCTCAGAGTGAACTGAAAAATTGACATTTTCAGAAAATCAAACAAGAAACAATCATGTATGCCTGCTGAACAATGCACTGCTTTGGTAATCTGGCTAGTTTTGTTATTTTCTTTTATTGATCCCTTAACTGTGTTTGTTTGTCTATCTTTTGTGTGAATGGGGCTGAAAACAAAGGTTATTGGGTTTAAATCATAGACATCTATTAGGCTATTTTGTTGTTTAATTTTGCTCTGCTAAAGTTACTGTATTGTGAATAAATAGTTTAGTCTTTTCTTCCAGCCAAAAAGCCAATGTCTTGAATTGATTATTCGTTAAGACTGAAATTAGTTTTTCAAAATCTCTGTTTGGGAATCACTGGGATCAATTTTGAGGGTGTTTGAGGGTTTTAATTTGACTGTGTTAGGAATAAAGAGGTCTGGAGCTTGACTTGGTTTAGCTGACTGCCTCCATGCTGTAACGGTACATCTGTCCAAAGTGACACTGACATTTCTCTGCATTGAATCTGAGATCTAGGGATGCAGGTACGTAATTCTGTGAAGTTTGTGTCACATGTGGACAAGGTGGTTAAAAAGACGTTTAGCACGCTTGCCTTCATTGCTCAGTCCTTTGATTATAGGTGATGGCAACTCATTTTAGACGTTTTACAGGACATTCGTGAGGCCTGTTCTCGAATACTGTGTCCAGTTCTGCTCGCCCAGTTATAGGAAATATATTATTAAGCTGGAGAAGGTTCAGAAGAGATTTACCAGTATGTTGTCAGGTATGGAAGGTTTGAGTTATAAAGAAAGGCTGGATAGGCTGGGACATTTTTCACGGAGTGTAGGAGGTTGAGAGGTAACCTCATAGAAGTTTATAAAATCATGAGGGATACAGTAGTAGCTGTCTTTTCCCCAGGATGGGGGATTTCAAAATTAGGGGACAGATTTTTTAACCTTTAGAAATATATGCTGACTCCAGTTGATCTAGAAGGGTACAGTCCCTTTAAGCCCAAAGGGTCCAGGAGGGAGAGGTCCCTTTAAACCCAGAAGGTTCAGGAGGGTGTGGTCCCTTTAAAGCTCACCGCCAATGTTATTTCCGGTTCTATGGTAACCCGGGACTACAACTCCCGGCAGACGTCAGGCTTCACCCATCGCGCATGCGGCTCTCCGCGGTCCTCTAGGCCGCTGCCGGTTGTGAGTCTCCGGCCGGGATCAGGTAAAAGAGGCGCCGTCGTTGCTGGAAGGGCCCGGGGAGAGGGAATACAAACTAGCCGGGGGTAAGGGCTGTCTGTGTATGTGTGTGGGGGAGGGCAGTCAGGGTGAGGGTGAACAGGCAGAGGGTGGTGTCAGTACGGGTGGGGGTGAGGGTGGGGGGGGGGGG